AAAAAAAAAAAAAAAAAAAGGCTCGTCGCCAGCCTGTGTGGCTTATGTGCATTGCACTAACGCTCGTCACTAGCCTGAGGACGAACTTCATGTGCACATGCACGTGCTGAAAGGCAAATGTGGCTTGCTTACAGATACTTCTGGGACCAAACTTGGCTGGAGGTCTCCAAGTCAAACACACCGCTAGGAAAGGCTCTTTTTTTTTCTAAGTCATTTACACCACACGGGATAGCTTTTTTTTTTTTTTTTTTGTTCAAGCAAAGTCCTACAGGTCACGGGAAAATAGCCTACGTGTGAAGCATGCTACTGTTTTTCTTGCTCTCATTTCACAATCTCATTTAATCACCCGATTACCACTACCTCCTTAAAAAATAAATATACAATATAAATATATATATACAAAATGTCTGATACTCAATTGAGGCGAGTCTTTGATGAAATGAAAAGACAAAGACTATCGCTCAAGACCTTTTTGCAAGCGTGTTTCTCATCGGAAGATAATGTTGTCAAAACGAGAGTTCGTTACTATAACGACAGTGAAGGACCTGCTGAAACTATCGCTCTCTGGGGTCAGATGACAGATTCCCAACACCAAGAGAGAAGTTCGTGCCGCCACCAATTTTGTCCTCAGCTATGTCAAAGACGAGCTGCAACAGGCATCCCAATTAAAGCCTTGCGATTCCCGGCAAGCGATATCACACTGGAGAAGACTGAAAAGTTTGAGCTCGAGTCTATTGACAGGATTTTCAAGGCCAAAGCTCCTGTTCTTTGCGCATTCTTGTCGGGTATTGCGCATGCAAATGATACATGTTCGAGGGACCCATCGAAAGTCGTGCCTGTAGTTGTCAGCATCTTTGCGTTTCTCCGCAATCGCAACTGTAATTACTTTCAAATGATGCTTGGGCTATTCTGTTCCATCAGGGCGCGTCACGGAAACTCATCACGCTATTATCGAAGGCGGGGATGTCGATCTCTCATCAATCGATCCTCAAGGCTATGGGTTCATTGTCCGAAGACACTCTCAAAGGCGTCCAAGGTAAAGTCAAGGCCGAATCCTTTCACGTTGTCTTTGACAACATCAATATGGCCTGTCGTAAGCATGATCAACGGCTCGACAACCGCGACTTATTTGAGAGTGGAACCGCAGCAACGGTTATTATCTCAAAGGAGACTGCAGAAGAAGAACGAGATACCAATCCTGCTCGGCTTCTTTGCGTTGAGGATCTATAACCGTTTGATGCAAATAGGGATGTTCTGGAGACTGTGATGAAAGGTACACCTAAATTTGCTCTGATTGGTTCAATGGGAAAAGGGTCCTGATTTCCGGTGATCAGCTTACGGTGAGCAGAATCCATTCACTGCAGAAGCAACGGTGCGATGACATTTCGTCCTACGAGAGATTTGATTGGGCGATTCCTGTGATAGAGCTTTTTCATCTGCAGATGATGCTTGCTACAACGATTTTACGTACCCACTATGGTGACATAGGAGTGCCAGGATCACTAGCTTTCTATGCATCAATGCTAGGGAGGAATCGTGTCACCCTTGATGGGCCTGATTTCTACGCAACAAATGAACTTCTTCAACATACGTTTGATGCCATGGTAATCCGCGCGTGGGGGCTTGACCTAGGATGCGATTGTTGTATATTTCAATATACAAGATAATAACGGCCCAGCTATAAGATTAAGAAAAATACTAAAAACACACTAGGAACATACTAGGGGAATTCCTAAAATTAATACGCTAAGAAAAGTATAATAATAATAACGCGTCACTAGAGACGCGACAAAACACCGACATGGTTCCTGAATAATCCCATGTCGCTTCTAGATAGATATGTAGTTACTTGGTACGAGTCTCTCTACCAGAAAATGAATAAATACCCCATGGATGTGGTGTGTGGACCCACATCTTATTCTCACTTATCTTAGCTTCTGATAACTACTGTCTAAATATTTTTCAGCGATGACCTAGAAGCAGGCGTACAGGGCATGCTCGACTATATTCTGCAAGAAAAACTCGAGCAGCGTATAGACATTGTTCTGGACAAGCTTATGGAGCTAAGCGAACTGGAGCAGCTCAATGGGACCGTATCTATGAACGCTGCTCTATTCATAAGGGATATGCTTATATATATAGAGCTATCATCTGCTATCAAGGCTGGAGACACTGGGCGCATACATGAGATGTTAGTATGGGTCACTATTTTTTGTCAGGTTGGGGGTACAAAGAACTATGCGTATGAACTTTTGCGATTACAGCGCGGTCTCAAATGCGCCTGGACCGATCAGACAGTAAAAGCTGACATGTCCTCATGGTTGGTAAATACTACAGGCCAAGAAAACCGCTGGATACCTACTGATCTTTATCAAGAGCATAATAACCTGCTCATCAAAAAGATGCACCAGGCAAGAGCAAGGGCTGCAAATTGGGACGTGCTAGATGGGTCGCTGTCGGTCAACATCCACTCTCTCGGACAAGTTGGAGAGCAGATGGGAAATGCGTTTGATGTTTCTTACGCAGGCACCAAACATGCCGTAAAACCTCCAAGCGGTGATATCAATGAAATCCTCGCAACCCTCAAGGAGTTCGATAATCTGAGCCTCTATGATAAAGAAAATCCTTCAAAATCTCACCCGCAAACCGCTAACGCAAGCCCTGTGGAAAATCTCTCCACAAGAGGCCTTATCAAGCTGAAAGAAACAAAGCACCTTCAAACATTTACTGCTTCAGTCAGACGTCCACATGAGGCAGCAAATGGAAATATAGCTATAGGCGACGCGATGGAAGCTGATGAGGGTGATACGGATGAGAAGGATGATGAGGACGACGATATGGAATACGGCGATATGGAAAAGTGTTATCAAACAATGAATCAATAGTACTTTTTTCCTTGTGTTTCATGAGAGTAACTAGATATTAATATAAGATAATCGAACCTTTTATCATTCGTTATTGAGTATCTTCTAAAAGAACTTGATCTCTGGCATCACGAGAGTGCATTGAGAATTGCATTTCATTATGATGATTCATTCGGCATGCACATTCTAATGCGGTGACCAACCTATGAACTTATTATTTTCATTCATTCATTCATTCAAGGATGAGAATGGTTCATTTCAATTGAAACTATGCCTTCATACCTTTTAGAGGCATTTGGCGTCATACTGAGAGAGAAAAGCAATAAAAGTACCACTTTTCTATTCTTTCATACCACTAGGCCTTCGTGCTCTTCCCCTTCAACTTCTATCTAGTATACGATGGATCTGCAATACATTGTTAATGATGAAGGGTATCAATCCCAACTTGATGACTTCAAGAATTTATGCCTCTCATACTTTGAAGATGAACTCACATTGTTTGATGAGGGAATGGATTTTAGCATCGCCCGCAATCACGATGGAAACTCGATTTTGCTTTCACAATTTATCACTTCGGGTGGGTTGATATCGCAGATCAACTTCGCCAATACTATAGTGTGCAGATGAGGTACAGCCGTTCTTGGATGCCGCGCTTCTTGTGGCTATTAGATACAAGTATCGCCAATTCATACATACTATGGTGTACCAGGAACAGATAAAAAAAAAAAAAAAAAAAAAAAGATGGATATCGCCAATTTCGCCTGAATCTTGTAAATCAACTTTTATCGTTATCTAAGTTCTGAGTTGTCATCGAGCAAAGAAATTCAAAGAGAAATCTAGAAATTGATGAGTCCCCGGAGGCTACTTTCAAGGTATCAAAAGGTCCATACATTACTAAAAACTCTCCTCCAATCCCTCGTCGACATCTACCAGAGCTTCGTTTCCCGATAAGAACCAAAGAAAGTGAAGGAAGAGATGTTAAGAGTAGGATGGCATGCGAAAACTGCAGGGTTAAGGGTATTAAGGAGGGCATGAAGTCCACCTCACGATCAGAATGGATATGCGCTACATGTAGGGTTCCTCTTTGCTTGAAAGCAAAGCAGAATTGCATTGAGAAAAATAAGCTATAATATTTTGCGTACAAAACACATGTAAAAAGTACCCAAATTGCGGCCATTTTTGATCGCAAAAAATCTTATTTTCGAATTCAGGATTAGGGATAAAAAACCAATGAAGTATGTTCATGCAACAAAAAAGGGTAGATTTGTCTAAAAGGGAAGCCCGCTCGGATCGTAAAAAAAATAAATAAAATAACAACAGAAAAACAGATGAACATTTTTTTTTTTTTTTTTTTTTTTTTTTTCCTTTGGCGCAGACTAGCTAGCTCTTTGGGAGACATAAGAGAGATATCAAGTGAAGTTTACAAATGTAGACATGAATCGAGGACAATGCTGTTGGTGTCACCTTAAGACGTACCACAAGGAAGATGTCATATAATCAGTGACTCGTACTGATGTACTTTGCATACGTACTGAAGTTTTTTTTCAGTAAATTTTTACTTATTATTTACTGGTTTTTTACTTATTATTTACTTAAACAAAAGTAAAAAAAAAGTAAATTTTGAGTAAAACAAAAGTAAATTTTGAGTAAAACAAAAGTAAATTTTGAGTAAAACAAAAGTAAATTTTCAGTAAATTTCAGTAAAACAAAAGTATATTTCAAGTAAATATCAGTAAAACAAAAGTAAGTAAAAAGTATATTTTCGGTAAATTTCAGTAAGTACTTACTTTTGTTTTACTCAAAATTTACTTTTGTTTTACTCAAAATTTACTTTTGTTTTACTCAAAATTTACTTTTGTTTAAGTAAATAATAAGTAAAAAATCAGTAAATAATAAGTAAAAATTTACTGAAAAAAAACTTCAGTACGTTTGCAAAGTACATCAGTACGAGTCACTGCATATAATGATACGCTTTCTTGGGAGAAAGTACAGCCATCTTATTTGTAACACCAAATGGCGAAGCAAAAAAAAAAAAAAAAAAAAAAAAATCGACCGTTGCATCTGGTACTCAAGTAGAGAAATGAGAAAACCTTTCATCTTGTCATCATCCCCATCATCCTTCCAATCATCACCGAGATGACAAAACCTCAATACCAGCAATTCCAAAAGACTAATAGCGACATCATCGAAGAAGTCTGTGTTAGGACTGTAAACACCTCCGCAAGCAATGATAACTCGTCGTGCTTTGTGAGTTTGCAAGACATTCGAGACGTGTTTCCAGATGCACTACGCTTCAAGTTGGATGGGCACCCCATTCCTTTCCTTTTAGACGATAATGGCAATAGGTATATTGTTTTATCATGGTGCCCTATTAATTATTACTCTGGGAAGAAAAATGACAATCCAATTCATTTTGACATATCTTTGTTGTTTATGTTTTAATAGGATCGAACCACCACGTATTGCATTCTATCCTGACAGGATCTTGGACGTCATTGCAGGGGCACCGCAGTCCTGCAACTGCGTCTGCAACTGTGAAAGCAGCAGCAGCAGCAGTAGCAACGCCATCATCCGCTTGCCAACATTGAAACAATCGAAGAACCTGGACTTTCAGGACCTTCTTTGGTCATTATCAAATATAGCCCAACCTTCAAACTCATTTCTTACCATTCGTAATAACGAAGATTTCAACTCTCACCTTGAAGAGATTAAAGGCCTGCTACTGGAGGCCAAAAATAGAGATAATGAGGTGATTAAACTGCAGTCAGAGATGCTTAAACTGCAGTTGGAGGCGAAGGAGAAGAACGATGAGGTGCTAAAACTGCAGTTGGAGGCGAGGGAGAAGAGCGATGAGGTGGTAAAAGTGCAGTTGGAGATGCGTCAGCTGCAATTGGAGGCCAAGGAGAAGGACGACAAGATGCTTGAAATGCAGAAGGAGACTCTTAATTTACAACAGCAAGTACTCGACAGACTTGCCATCCTTCAGCAGAAAGTTGAAGCTATCCTTATCCAGTCCTTTGAGCTGCACGAGTACCCAATCCCTCGGCTGTTTATCATTTTGCCTATCGATCGTACCAAGTGGGACCCAATGAATATCTTGAGAAATAAGGTCCGACTTCATTTCTTATGCGAACACGGCATCCACGCCGTAAACGCAGCTAAGAGCTGTCACGACCAGATCCATCTTGCCAGACATGAGGGATATGAGATCCGGGAGAGCACAGAGTTTTTCCAAAAGTATGGAAAATACATGACCATCCTTTTACAGTGCCTCAGTATGGGAATGCCCTTGGCTGCCTCGCTTGGGTCAGTCCCGGATCTCAAAGCCGGTATCGATCATTCACTCAACTATATGAAAGCGCTATCTGTTGAGTACCCGGCCTTGAACAGCATCAACACAATCGAGGACTATGAGGCACTTGAAGGAGCAGATCTCCGAGGACTGAGCAAATTCCTTCAAATCAACGATGAAGATGGTAAGCTTGGCAACTTGTACAGGACTACGACCGAAGGGGGGCATGTCAAATGGGTTTGTGTCGACCACTACCGCTCAACGTATAAAGAGAAAGAACAAAAAGCATTTGAAGGCGCTGTGGAGATGAACGGTGGCAAGTATGACTCACAACTTGGTAAAGTGACCGTTGAGTTGGGATCCAGAATTAGAGCAGCAGAATTCTTTGATGCTTTGACCAAAGCAAAACATATTTACGAGTTGGACATCACACTCAACTGGGATTGGACCAAGACTGACCTTGAAGCAATTGAGAGTGCACTAAGAGTGTCGAGTGTATCGATTCTTCGGCTTGACCTTGGTAGTCCTCAAGAAGGTATTGCCAGGAAACTGCTTTCAACAACTGCGAGATATGAAAGACTTGTTCGTATTATAGAGCTCAACACTATGAAAGTGGTCCGTATTGCATTGCCTTCAGACCTCATCAAGCTTTCCAGGCTACCAACTTAAAAGTCGCAACATCATCATGAGTTGACCTTTGAGATAAAGGCTCGAAATATCGGAGCAAGTGACTTTCAAGTGCTTGTAAATTCACTTAGGACCAACATGACTTTGACCAGCTTGGATTTGAAAAGCAACTCCATTGAAGATAAAGGGGCTCTAGCACTCTCGGAGGCACTCAAGGTTAATAGGTCTTTGGCTACTTTAGACTTGAGAGACAATCCGATTGAGAAGGAAGGAGTCCTGGCGCTTTTAGGCGCGCTCAGAACAAGCCCAACATTGACTACCTTGGGCCTGCAGAGCACTTTAATTGAGGAAGAACTGTCGGAGGTACTCAAAGGCAACGCGACATCCGCCACTCTGAAATTGAGTTACAGTTCGATTCGGAATGAAATAATTCTGGTACTAGCAGAAACACTTAAGACAAACGCGACATTGACTAGTTTGCTCTTGCGGGGCAAATCAATTGGGACTGAAGGAGCTCTAGCACTGTCAGAGGCACTCAAGACAAATATGACCTTGGCCAATCTGGACTTGGAGAACAACTCAATTGGGAATGAAGGAGCTCTGGCACTGTCAGAGGCACTCAAGACAAACACGACTTTGACCAATTTGAACTTGAATGACAGCTCAATTGGGAATGGAGGAGCTCTGGCACTTTCAGAGGCACTCAAGACAAATATGACCTTGGCCAATCTGTACTTGGAGAGCAACTCAATTGGGAAGGAGAACTGGCACTGTCTGAGACGCGCAGATGGAGAAAAGAACAGAATAGAACACGTACATTTAAATTGCTGTATTGAGGAGAAATGATCACAGCCTGCAACAGAAATGTGTTCCTCAAATTCTAAGAGGGATTCCTCCTATCTCATGCATTACCTTTGCACTTTCACAATTTTCATGTTACAAAGCTGACACTCTCAAGCGTTTCTACTTGGAAGTAATTTCCTTTGTTAATAATGACAATAATAAAAGAATAAAACAAAATATATTACATTTGAACCTGTCTACGCTAAAAGTTAAGCATATCCTCCATAACATCCTCATCAACTTTTTTTCTCATTTTTTTAGATGATAGGGTCATTCCTCACTTTATAATCACTAGATTGGTAATGAAACAAATCTATTAAATAGAAGTTCATTAATAACATAGATGGCACCACTGTATAGTATAGATTGAAAAGAAGAAAAAAAAACGCGGATGTATATAATCTTTTCCGCCACTTGTATGCTTGCTTGCTTACATTAAAGGAAAGCTGCTGCCTACAGTCTGAGGGATCAACTCATTCTTGGTTTGATGAAATACTGCACAAATCACCAGTTTCTATTCTACTTTCAGAAGGGTTGGTCCTCCAGAGCGATCTGAATAGGTTGAGCTTTCAAGGTGAAAAATAAGGAGAATATCCCATCTTGTAGAATGAGGCCAAGCATGCAAGGTATCTACAGGAGCGATGGAGCATCTTTAGGCTAACATGAAACGAGGTGTGCTCAAGACCGTCGTTGAAGCCACAGTGTGGTCCAACAGCTTTTTTGCCAGAGGTTGTTTCCGAGTTCGCGATTAGAGTGGCTCTTTGGGAAGTAGGGGTTAATAACAAAGAGTTGTATAAATAGGTCAGCTCTACGACAGCGGCATATTAGAGAATATTTGCATTTTCTCAGAAAGTATGAGGAGTGAACATTAAAGAATTGGGCAAAGAGCTGTTTGATCTAACAAGTTTAAAAAAACCTCCCCTGGCCAATGAGAGCATAGGCACAGTAGATAGACGTCTGGATCCTTTGTTTCCCATGAGACAATCGCCCCAAGGAAGAGACAAGAGATGGATCGAGAAGTAGGCAAAGAGACGAGCCAAGAGGCGGACAGCGAGATAAGCAGAGAGAGAGAGAGATTTTCTACCTTTGCTGCTCTCTCTCTCTTAATTCGTCCCTGCCCAGCGAATAATATATTTATATATATAGTCACTGTCCAAGCGACAAGTGTGAGTTTCGATGGTTGCCACCAAGTATGTGGATAAGATTTCAATAGTTGCATTTGTTCCAGCTTGTCCAACCTAACCTGCCATTCGCTTATTCAACTCTTTTGCCAGATAAACTAGGGTATTCGTACTACTTTGTCATTCGTGTCCTTCTTTAGCTCTTTTTTAAGTTAATTAAAAGTATACATCAATAAGCCTATATGCCTCTATATATGGTCCAGATGAATACTTTTGTCTATGCCCAGTGATGTTGAGACCATGTAGGATATGGCTATTGGTTTACTTTATAACGCCATGATCTTTTAGAGTTTTAAAGGGCTTAAAAGACACTTTTTTTTTTTTTTTTTTTTTTTTTTCCAGATTTTTCAAGTATTTCATATATTTCAAGTATGTTACTTACTATCGTCCTTAATTAATACATATTTGTATTGGATAAGGGTAAAGATGGGGAGAGCATAACTTTCTATAAATCAATAATATCCACATTACATGTAGGCTGTAGGCTGTAGTCTCTAGTTTGTAGTCTGTTGGCAAAATGTTTGTAGTCTACATGTTCTTCGCCCTCTCCTCCTCCCCTTGTGCTATATGCTATATACATGTTATTACGCTAAATGCTTTAAAAATGCCCCCTACCCCGCCCTCCCCCCAGCCTTTTTTTTTTTTTTTTTTTTTTAAAAAAAAAAAAAAATAAAATAAAGAAAAGGAACAGGGCAAATAATTGCCGACCTTTAAATCAATTGTAGGTTACATGTGTATTTATTTATCAACTTTATACTTCTGACTGCATAGGAGCAGCAAAAAGTATAGATGTATTGTTTATAGCCATTCTGCAAAACAAATCCTCGAGGGTCCTTTTTTATTTGCGAGGGAAAGAGGATGGGAAGGGTTAGAGCAAAAAAAAAAAAAAAAAAAAAGAATGAAAGCAAAGAGACGTAATACAGACAGAAAAACGGTGTATAATTCAACCATTAAAAAAAACCGGGGCGAAGCCAGGGCCGGCTCTTGCCTCATTAGAAATTGCATGAAGACAAAATAAAGCGTATTGCAACGATTGGTTTTGAAAATAAAAGGCGTTACCGTATATACAACGGAAGTATCTTTGCATAACTTTTTTATTGACTGGGTCTTTTTTGCCATTTTAAAAGCTACAAACATAATCGACACTATATAGAAATACCATAAAGCAAAATCAGGTAAGATTATATACAGCAGTAAAATAAACAAAAAATAAAATACAAAATAAGGAAGAATATCTGGAAGATACGGCAGTAAATGAGAGGATGCTTATTTACAAAGCACCCTTGTAGACAATGTTCCAGATGTGTAGCCCAGGTCTGAGATTAAGCTCAATTGCACCCATTACGCCGATATATGCATCCGCCTTCAGTTTGGACTGGTATTCGCTGATGAACTGAAGCCGATCCGCCTCCAGTCTGCTGTATTGGTTGGTAGCGTACTGATGAGTCAAGCACGTACTCATCCAGATGAAAGATCGCCGGTCTGTTGAGCTCAAAGGACGAATCTGCATCCTGTACATGTAAAACTCCTTGAGCTTGGCGTATTCTCGACTTTTCCTAGCTCGGTCATTGCCCCCATCCACATCCATCTCTAGCTGGCCGTCATCGTTACCTCCGTCATAGCTGTCACCATGAGGCCCTGCAGAAGTTTGACCTGGCCTAGGCCATTTTTTATACTTTTTATATGTCCAGTCCTCGCCTCTTGGATGCAAGAGGATATAATGGAGGCTGTCGTAAGCTGGATGGACCTCACTGGTTTTCTTCAAACCACCGGCTTTGCTTTCTATTATGATGCCTCGGCAGCTGACCATCGGCTCTAAGCGGTACCTATATTGCATAATATTGGGACCCGAAACGAAATCTTTCTGAAACCTTTTTCTAGCGGGTGATAGAAAATTGTCTTCGGCAAAAGAATTATCTTCGGTAGAAGGATCATCCTCAACAGAAGGATCGCCTTCACGCTAGTGTATTCTGAAGGTCAATGGTAAATGGTAATAGTGTAGGATTAAGAACACATAATGTATAGTATAATAAGCCAATAAAAAACCGAACAAAAAGTAGCACACCTTTGTCTTTGTATGGGTCTTTCATTTCGTCTTCATCTCTAAAAACAATACTTCGTGTGCACACAGGTCTAGCGCCATTTTGCACTGAGTTACTAACAACGCTATTAAAGCAGTAAAAAGGAAAAACTAAGGGTTAATAGTCCACTGATGAGACGAAAAAAATCAAACTCACCCTTTATTACTTGGGCATGGTCTACGACCATCCCTAGGGTGCTTGCCCTGCGGATAAGTAATAATGATGGAGGGTTAAAAAAAGAATATCAAAAACTAATGAAAATCATTTGAATAGAAAATAGAGAACCTTTGCCTTCGAATTGATCCGACATTCTGCACATGGTTGCTGGTAGCGCTATTCAAGTTATAGAAGGTATATAGGCATAAGCTTTGCATACGCCAGCCACTACCATGTCAAAAGAAAAAAAAAAAAAAAAAAAAAAGTTCTCTAGGATTGTTAAATACCGAAATTACTTTACTCTTCATTATTTGAGTATGAGCTGCGCACATGGCCGGATGACTGCACCCACACACAGACATGGAATGGAAGGAGGAACGATGCGACCAGGAAAACTCGTTCTGTCTCTATCAGTTGAGAAAATATTATTAATATTCCAAAAACATAAAAATAAAAAAATAAAAAGGCCTTACCACATTCCTTACGTTCTGAGGGCATAGTCTTTTGCCATGTCCGTCGCTGCTGCACAGGCTACATGGCATGAGGCGTAGCATTGAGAGGGATCTTTAATTAATAGATAATAAGATCCAAAAAAATAAAATAAAATGAAAAATAAACGTAATAGTGGCAAAAGTAGAGAGCAGTGGATAAACGTGAATTATCCCTTATCCTGAATTTGAAAATAAGATTTTTTGCGACCAAAAATGGTCGCAGTTTGGGGTAGTTTTTTTACATGCGTTTTGTACGCAAAATATTATCCCTTGTCCTGAATTGTGACCAAAAATGGTCGCAATTTTTTACAAAATGCTCAGTTAAACAACATTCTACTGATTGCGACCCCCCTGGTTGCAATGACAAACTTCCCCGATATTACAGGGGCTTGGTGACCAAATACTCTATGCGCCTTAGATTTGCAGTTGGAACTGATTAATTAACTCCTTAATGCGTTGAATTCAGCTGCAATTTTTGTAGGATTTTGCTGGGCGAAAGAAAGGTAGCCCAAGACATATCCTTCGGGGGAGCATTTGTCAATTGGCGTCTCAATAAAGTAGTCTGCTCCTTGCATCGTCTTTGGGAGAAAATGGACATCCTGCTCCGTTTGAGATAATAGGGTAGCAGTGAGGACAGAAAGAGGGAGGATAAAGGATTGGCTGTGTGAGGAAAAGGGTGGGCGAAAGAGAAATAAACTGCGCAGTGTAAAAAGAGGAAATAACAGATAAAAGTGTGCCAATAGATGTGCATTGAGATGAATTAAAAAGCCGAGAATAGGCAAAAAAAGGATGCCCAAGAACAGATTGAGGTATAAAAAGTGTAGGGAGAAGTAAAAAAAATAGAGGGTAATCGGACGCGTAAACGAGACATTGCTAACAATCATTTAAATAAAATTGAGCGTAATTACCTTTATGAGAGAAATGTGTAAACAATGAAGGGAGTGAAGGAAAGAGATGATGGAGTATTTTTTTAACCCATACTTGTATACGTAATTCACATCCCTATTTTTTGCCACCATTTCCACAATAAAGGCAAATCTTCCTTACATTATTCTACATTATTCATGTTCACAACTTATAGCTCAACTCCAGCG